TGAAAAATATAGCTGACTCTCATAAGGACTCATGGCTAGTAGGAGGGGATTTTAATGATGTGTTTAGTGCTAATGAAAAAATTGGTGGGAGACCCCTTAATCGTAGACGTGCTTTTAAGCTCTGGGATAATTTGAATTACTGTAAAATACAAGATTTAGGCTATAAAGGATGCAAATATACTTGGTCTAATTGTAGGTTTAGTAATAATAACCTAATCTTGGAACGTTTGGATAGGATTTTTGGTAATAATGAATGGATTCAATATTTTCCAAACGCTTGTATTACTCATCTACCAAAGACCCACTCTGATCACAACCCCCTTCTTATTAATCTTATCCCTAAAAAGAGTCGTTTACTTGATAAACCATTCCGACTAGAACCATACTGGTGCAAACACCCTCACTTTAAAATATTAGTTAGAGACTCTTGGTGTAACAACTCTTATAATCAGGCTTTGTCAACCTTTAAAGATGCTGTCATTAGTTGGAAAAATATTACCTTTGGAGACCTTTTCAAAAATAAGAGAATCATTCTTGCAAGACTTAAAGGTATCCAAAACTCCCCTTCCTACTATCATAGTAAATTTCTTCAATCCTTAGAACACTCGTTAATTCAAGATTATAACAACATTCTTCGTATTGAGGAAGATTACTGGAAGCCTCGCTCTAGAATTCATTGGTTAAACGAAGGCGACGCTAACACAAAATTCTTCCATATTGTGGCTACCAATAGGAAAAGAATTAACAAGATTAATTTCTTCAAAAATGACCTAGGAATGTGGATTGATAATCCTGAAGATATTATTAACCACACAAAAGACTATTTTGAAAAAGCCTTCACATCTTCTCATATCCGTAGCAATTGGAGACATATTAAAAATGACCCTAGGTGTTTTATTAACTTAGATTTATCCTTCCTTGACGACCCCGTCACTCACTCTGAAATTACAAAAGCCTGTTTCTCCTTTAAACCCTATAAGGCACCCGAGCCTGATGGTCTTCACACCTTTTTCTTCCAAAACTATTGGAATGTTATTGGAAATTCTGTCACTAGTCTATGCCAAGAAGTTTTCAAGACTGGCACTATCCCTGGAAATATTAACGATACTTTGCTGTGCCTAATTCCTAAATTCCCTAGTGCAAATAACTTAAATTTTTTTAGACCTATAGGGCTTTGTAATACTGTCTATAAAATAATTACTAAGGTCATCTCTACCAGACTGAAACCCTTCCTTAATAATTTAATTAGCCCTTCCCAAAGTAGCTTTCTAAAAAATAGGAAAGCTAGTGATAATGCCATTATCACTCAAGAATTAATTCTTAAAATGAATAAATATCGTGGTTATAAACACAACATGATTTTAAAAATTGACTTGGAAAAAGCTTTCGATCGTTTAGAATGGTCCTTTGTCTATAGAGCTTTAAGATTTTTCAAATTCTCTCCTAATATTACAAAGCTTATAATGAACTGTGTCTCTTCCAGTAGAATATCCATCTTGGTTAATGACGCAAGAACTAGTTATTTTTCACCAAGTAGAGGTATTCGCCAAGGTGATCCTATGTCTCCATATCTTTTTATCCTTTGTATGGAGATGCTCTCTACCCTTATCAACCATAAAGTTGATCTAGGCTGTTGGGATCCCATTACAATTGGCAGCAATAAGCACCATATATCTCATCTATTTTTTGCAGATGACCTAACCCTAATGGCAAAAATTAATGATAAATCTATTGAAGCCATTAATGACTGTCTCAACTCCTTCTGTCACCTATCAGGGCAATCCATTAACAAAGCTAAGTCCAAAATCATTATATCCAAACACTGCCCTAAGCCTACACAAGCTACCCTCTCACAAATCCTTAATATCAAAGTTAGTAATTCTTTCGGAAAATACTTAGGTTTTCCCATTACAAACTCTAAACCCAGGGCCAAAGATTTTCAATTTGTCCTTGACAACATGATTTCTAGACTCAGTATATGGAAATCAAATTTACTAAGCATGGCTGGTAGATGTACCTTAGCAACCTCCTGTCTAAACTCTCTTCCAAATCACCTAATGCAATATACCCTTCTACCGGCTAAGATTCTAAGTAAAATTGACAAGATCCAACGAGAATTTATATGGGGTACAAATGGAACCTCAAAAAAACTTCATCTCATTAAATGGGATAATATCACTCAAAACAAAAAGGATGGTGGGTTAGGTATTCATGTTGCAAAAAAGAAAAACCTAGTAAGCCTAGATAACCTAACTTGGAGACTCCTCCAAAATATTCAATCCCCTTGGGCTAAAACAATACTAGGTCTATATGGTACAAGGAAAACACTGAAAAATAATTCCTTTATATGGAATGGTATTGTTCTAGGCTGGGAAATATGTAGCAAAGGGATTACTTGGCTGCCTCATAAGTCCTCAACCTTGAGTGTGTGGAATAATCGTTGGATTCCCAAATTCAACTCTCTCCGTCAATATATTCAGGGTCCTTTAACCCTCCAGGATGAAGCTCTTAGCATAAAGGATATATGAAAACAAAATACTTGGGAGTTATCTCATCTTTCAATGACCCTAGAACCCAGAATCATCAAGAAGATAAATGCTACTCAACTCACAAACAAATCCCACGATACTCCAGTTTGGGCATTGAACCCCAATGGTCTTTTCACTAGTAAATCTTGCTACACCCTTTTAGACAATCAGTTTGATTGCTACAAGTATTACACGTGGATTTGGAAAACAAATTGTCCAAACAAGATAAAATTTCTATTGTAGAAAGGCTACCATAATAGACTTCCAACAAGAAGCTTCTTAAACCATATTGGCATTAACATAGATCCTATATGTTCTACTTGTAAAACTGATAAGGAAACTATTAATCATATTTTTTTGGAATGCATGGCAGTCCGACAACTATGGTCATACTTAGGAATTGATCCCAAAATTCGGAACGGTGCTTTAGATTGGCTAACTCATATTCATGATCACAACTCATCTTTTATAAACCCTATTATCACTTGACATGACCTATTTCCCTTTGTCATTTGGACTATTTGGACTAACAGAAATAACAATTTATACAATAACTACACGCATTTGGCTAGCCTTCAATGTGCTATTAAATTATCAGTAGAGTTCAAACTTTTAACTGGAAAAGAAAATATTAGGCCGGAAAAAATTCCTATAAAAGTTAACTGGAATAAACCCCCTAGAGGTCTCATCAAACTTAATATTGATGGTTCCTTCAATGACGACCAATCACTCTGTGGTTTTGGTGGGGTGTTCAGAGACTACTATGGCCAATGGATAGTTGGCTTTCATGGGAAATCCCCAGGAACATCCGCACTTCAGGCGGAATTAATGGCCCTGAATATTGGCCTGAAAACTGCCATTAGGCAAGGATTTACAAGATTAGAAATAGAAACAGACTCAACCGATGTTATTAATTGTTTGGAGAATGGAATGATATTATTAATGAGTGCAGGTTGTTAATGGGGCAAGTGAAGGTCCAGGGAGTGCATCACATCTTCAGGGAGTCCAACAAGCCGGCACACATGCTGGCTAAAGAAGGACTGAATGACAACAACAACAGGGATACTAATGTTATCTATTATGCTCCGTATTTTGTAACCAATATCTTGAAATTAGACTATGAAGGAAAGACTTATGCAGTTAGGTTCCTTAAAAAGGATGTTTGCTCTAGGCTAGCAGCTTTTGGTAACAAAAATGTCCTAAGGGACATGTTATTGGTTTGTAATAGCCAAGTAGGTAATGCCCCTCCGGGCAATATGAACAACACTATGTCTACTATTTCGTGATATATATATATATATATATATATATATATATATATCCCTGTTTGTCAAAAAAAAAAGACATAGACTAGTAGAAATAGGATAAGTGTACAAAGTTAATAGGTTATTCTTTTATTTCTTATTTTCTTTTCTAGCAATACATGTGTATAAATACATAGTCCTTTGTACAGATTGATCATCGGAATATACAGAAAATTTCTCAAATCCTCCTCTCAATTTTCTACATCTTGACGTGAATGATGATTTTGTGTGTGGTATAATTTGTGATTTTAAAGAGATTGAATTGAAAAAACGAGATGATAATTAAGATTCCCAAGTTTTATTTTTTATTTTTCCATCTCAAAATAAATTTTTATGCTGTTAGTCTATAAGAAAATAGGGAAAATTTTATTTTGTCTCATACAACTGACACTAGTTGTATGAGGCATCTTTTTTGTCTCACAGTTTTGTGGACCCAGATTTTTGCGGACCCAGAAGTATAAGATTGGGGTCCACAAATTTGTGAGACAAAAAGGAGCCTGACACAACTAGTGTAAGCTGTGCGAGACACACAATAAAACTTCTCAGTAAATAGGGTACGGTTTTGTTCATAAATGAGTACTTTGTCCCCATCTGGTAACTCCAGGTAAGCAAATCGGGCAAAAATGGAGAAAAGATAGCTGAAGAAAAAGAAAGAAAAAAAAGAAGAAAAAAGATAAAAGAATAAGAAAAGACGTGCATTATTTAATCACCATTTGACCATTTTTCTATCCTTTTATAATGTAAAAATAATTCCTCTACCATGTCACCTATTAAAGGGGAAACAAATTCAGTTTGGACAAGTACAAGAAGGAAAAACGACACCCATAAACTCACTTTCGGAACAAGTATAGGGAGCAACTTATCTATTTTTCCAATTTTTTACATGGGCAGTAATACATCGAAGGTGGTTACAATAAGTTTAGTATAGACAATTCGGGCGAAGCCACCTTTAGCAAAATTACACTGTGTATATAAGTAGAATATTAATTTTAGATATATAAAACCTATATTGAACACCCTCTGTTGGAATTTTTTTACTTTTTTCAAGTTTGAACACCCTTGAAAATATTTCTGGCATCGCCAATGATAGACAATTACCAGTGTAACTGTATGTCACCTCGACCTGATTGCTTAAAAAAAAAAATTCTACACTCTCAGTGCACAAAAGTTAAACTCATAGAAAATACTCTCAAATATTTGAGATCATATTAATTATCTTTAGCAACCAGTTACAACACACAACAATACAAGTTATTGAGCAAGATTATAAATGCAAGAAAAGAAAAAACTCCTAGTTCTTGGACAATTACTGTACAATGAGCAAGAAAAGGCATGCCCATTTTCCTTAAGGCATACAGTTTTCCATCGAACTTTTGAAACCCAGCTTCCAAGTGTTTGCTGAGAACTTAACTAGATAACTAAAATAACTAAACAGAAGCTACATTCGAAAACGAGCTATCGATAACCTTTTCATGTCCAACTAATGGCCACTGGACTACCAACTACATGCTTGCCATCTGACCACTCGATTCTACCAAACATATTCGTAGTTGATGGAGTTGAAGGAGCAGCGAAAGTCACAGTATATGACTTCTGCTCGTTCGCACGAGTAAAAACCAATGTTTCAGGCTCAACCGAGACTTTCACTGAGTTGCTTGGTGAAAAAACAGTACTAACTTTGTATGTTCCTGCTGGTCCAACATTAGTAAGCGTTCGTGTATATTTAACGGAGCTAGAACTGCTTCCACTGCCTGCAGTCATTTGTTCTGGAAATACAACAGCAAATGAAGGGTAATTCAAATCAGTGACACTGTATTTCTTACTTGTTTCACAGTTGTAGTTTCTTCTAGCAATGCTATTGATCTGGATTGATGTGTAGTTCAAGGCACAGAGGAAATTCAGATAATCATCAGCCCTCAAGTCGTAAACAAGTCCGGGGTTTAATGCTGCAACAGGGTCTACATGTCCTGCACCATGATCAAACGGCGTGGACGGCTTTCCCGTCGAGACATCTTGGAGCGCACCGCCGTTCTTGTACACTGTATAAGCCGTGGTCATAAGAGCCGAGCGAATAGCCGCTGGGCTCCAATCGGGGTGCACTCCTTTAAGCAAAGCAGCCAAACCACTCACGTGCGGGCAAGACATAGACGTGCCCGATATAATGTTGAACCCAACGCGTCTTGTGTCCTCGGCCAACCCTGTCGGACCAACCGCACCTGTCCACCCTGCGAGGATGTTAACACCTGGTGCTATGATGTCCGGTTTGAGAATTTCCTGCGTGATTGAGTTTGGTCCTCTGGAGCTAAATGCAGCAACCACTGGTGACGGTTTGATCCCCACCTTAGTTCCCTCGAAAAGAATTGTGGCTGTTGGATTAGGATCCGAGGTTAAGTATTTCTTGATTGCTTCTCCTGTCGTCTGACCAACCGTCGTTGCTGGAAGCAAATGGGCATCAGCCACCAGTTCATCCCCATTGGCGGCAGTGTTAGCCAAAATCATACCAACCCCACCGGCTTCTTTTACTACAGAACCTTTTTGGACTCTCGGGTTTATCCCGCGGTCACATAGAACAATTTTTCCTTTAACCTTCTCAGGAATTAAGGTACCCGTCATGCAAAGATTTCCATTTGTAGTATTACTAGCATTACCAGCATACACAAAGGGAAGCATTTTACTTAGTGACAAATCCCCTTTGTAGAGTGAAACACCAGAGAAATTCTTACCATTGCCTAGGCTTACATATGCAGGAAAATCACGGTCCAATGTTCCTGCACCCACAGTAGTTATCCACGGCGCTACATTGGACAAACTATAGGGACTAGGACCAGCGTTACCTGCAGAGCAACAACAATAATTACGCCTCAATCCCAAGCAAGTTAGAATCGGCGATATGAATGAATCTTCATTGTTCATGTCGCTCAGTTTTAAACTAGTCTGGTCTAGTATCAAAGAAAATGTACTAATAATTAAGAAGTACTAGAAGTTCTTCATATTTTTCGACTAGCATCATTACCTGCTGAGCAAGAGACTAGAATCCCTTTCTCCATAGCAGCAAATGCTCCAATTGCGACACTATCTCTATAATAATCTGAATTGCCACCACCAAGTGATAAAGAAAGCACATTCACATTATCATCAATGGCTTTATCCATAGCTGCTAATATATCAGAGCTAAAACAACCACCAATCCAACAAACTTTGTACACAGCAACTCTAGCACGAGTTGCCATTCCGCGAGCAGTTCCAGAAGCATACCCAAAGAGACTAGCGCCCTGAACAACTGAACCAGCTGCAGTAGTAGCAGTGTGTGTTCCATGTCCGTCATCGTCCCTTGCAGATTTCGACTCTTTGGATACATCAACAGGACCCAAAGTGGTCTCATAACCTTTCGAGAAGTACCTATCAATAGACATAATATGATTAAGCAATTAAAAGTATATCTTATCTCTAATAACTTGAGCTTTTAGATAAGTTGAGCAAAATCAGTGGCAGAGCCAAGAACTTTTTATTTAAATAATTCTAACAAGGAAATTCAAAAAAGTGCAAACTTGTATTATCAGTGGAATACAACAATTTACATACACAAAAATAATTCATTTTTAGCCTATTTGTACAGTGTAACTTTCTGATGCATGGGATTTAATTAAACCCTCTTCAACACACTTGCCATGCATCTAATCACAAAATTAAACTGTGTTAAACCAAGCAAAAAATTCCCAGAATCGAATTTCACAGCCAACAAGAAAAACCATAAGAAGAATCAGACCAACATGTGAGAGGACGAGTTGACATATAATAATAACAACTACAATTGACGTCTCAGTCCAAAAAAAGTTGGAGCCAGCAGCTATATGAATCCTCACAAACCACGATTTACAATAACAATAACTGGGTTCGGAATTCTAAATTACTGGGTTCTAATTAGTAAATTGTAAATAATCAATGAATTGCTCAAGACAAATACAAAACTAAAGCTACTGGGCTCGCCGAACCAGTAGCCAGAACGCTGGCTCCGCCCCTGCTCCTACAGGTGGGTCTGGGGAAGATGAGATATACACAGTCTTACCCCTTATCCCTACCTCGGAGGGGAGAGGGGAGAGGGGCTGTTTCCAATAGACCCCGGCTACAAACCACGATTTGAGATATAATATAATTAAGTAATTAAAAATGTCTTATCTCTAACCGCATAAACTATTAGAAAAGTTTTACCTTGCACCAATCAATTTCCTATTGCAATTTGAAGAACTGAAATTGGTACCAGATTCACACTCTCCTTTCCAAGAATCAGGAACAGGTCCAAGTCCAGTATCATCAAAACTCTTGCTTTCTGGCCAAACTCCAGTATCAAGAACCCCAACAATCACATCACTCATCGCATTTGATTCTGGAAAAAAATCAGCACTTCTATCAAGACCCAGAAAAGATGGTGTTCTTGTCGTGTGAAGTTCATATTTCATCTCCGGCAAAACAGACAGAATCCCAGATTGTCTCTCTAGTGATTCTGCTTCTTGAACAGTCAGTCTTGCTGAGAAACCATGTACAACGTTGTTGTAAACATACAACATTTCTGCTGAATCAGAAACTGATTTTAGTGATGAATCATACCAGTGTTTATGGTCTTCAAAACTCTCTGGCATTTGGGATTTTGCCACGTGTACTATGTAAGTACTCTTCTTATTACTACTACTTCCTATTGTTGCTACTGATAAATGGCATAGACATAGAAGAACAAGAACAAGAACTACTAGCATTGTAAATCTTGTCATTTTTTCTGGAATTGCTGTGTTTTTGCAAATCTTGACGTTGTTTTTGCTATGTAAATATATAGGATGAGAAAGAAGAGTAAATATGAAGTGTGAAAACAAGAAAAGTTGAGTGATGGGAGTGAAAGATGGGGGCGGTGGTTCTTGTTTGTTACTGTGAATGATTGGGTTTTCAAACAAAAAGTTTCAAAGTTCCAGCCTTGCAAAAACAAACTGACATACAAGTAAAAGAAAGAAATAAAGAAACAAAGAAACATTTCACATTCAAAGGAGACATTTGTTTTCTTAACACAATCGATTAAGGTGTCGTTTGGAAAGTAAGTTATGTTTGAGATTATTGAGATTAATTATGCTGGAATTAGCTAAATTGATATTATTTTTTATTAATTGTTTGATATGTTGTATTAATTTTGTAATTGTCAATTTTACTGTTTTATTCAAGGATAATTTATCCTAGGATTATTATTTCATTCTTTGGCAGACAAAAAATATTTCGTATTATTTTTAGTTCTCTCATAATTAATACAATCAACAACAATAACAACAACAACCCAGTAAAATTCTACTAATGGGGTCTGGAGAGGGTAGTGAGTACGCTGTTTTCGAAAGACCCTCGGCTCAAGAAAACAGAAAACGCAAAAGGAGACAATATTAGTATCACCATAGAAATCATAGGAAAAATAGGAACAACATGAAATACACAAGAAAGATGCAAAGCAAAGCAAAAATGATAGCTAGGAAATAGGTCATGCGCCGAAAAGCAAAATAGTAAGACAACGTTGCAAAAACGATCTACTGGGTTATTTTTGTTTATCCGTCGTATAAACGATCCCCTAAGGGCTCGTTGGTATGAGGAATAATGAATAATTAGTTTTGAGATAAAATTTAAGAAGAGTTTATCCCATGTTTAGTTGGAAAAAAATTACGGTATAATTAATTTCGAAATTAATTAATTCCGAATTATAGTATTTTTTTTTATTGTTATTAAAAGGTGAAATAACTAATCCGAAATAACTAACCCCGAAATAATTAACCCTAGAATAACTTTTTTCCAACTAAACCGACCCCTGAGACGATAAAATAGACATCCTCAAAAGACACTCACTTTATCTATGCAGTAGTCACTCACTCAGTGCTAATTGCTTTATATTTTCTTTATATTATCTTTCACTTTACCTCTTTGTGTAAGAAAACTCAGAAAAAGAGAAGTCTGATATAATTCCCCATTTGTTTATACATTTTTTACAGACTGTGGTAACAGAAGAATGGCAGTATACATTGGTCAAGTGGCGGTCCAATTAGTAAAATAAATTTGGAACATGGTGATAGTTCACGGGTTTTTAATTTGGGAGTTACTAAAGGTAGATAGTAGGTGATACGTGGAAGTTTTATTATCCAACCAACTGTTTTTATTGTCTCCCTCCTTTTCAATTTTTTTGACAGCTCAGTTTATAATGGTATTCACCTACACTTATTTATGTGACATTACTTTTTAAATTTTAATTAATAAATAATACATCATATATTTGAGATACATGATTTTATAATTATAAAAATATTATGATATATTTAAAGCATAAAATATAAAAATTAGTATTTCTTAAATTTGTTACTCAACTAAATTGGTCAAATAAAATAAAATAAGAGGAGTTAACTTAGTATTACATTTGATTGTCCAAAATGTATTTGTACTATCAATATAGTATAATTTGTTATACCAAATTAGTTAGTATTTTATTATATTATCCACTAATATTGTTCATTATGTTTTGTTAAAATATATAATTAAAAAAATTGATTCTATTATGAAAACTCATTTGAAATTATCACACTAGTTTGTTGTCAGTGCAGAAAATAGATAAGGTTTCGTAGGGCAAGAGTAGTACCATATAATTAAACAAGTGGAGACTCTTCCAAACTTTTATTGATGAGTCAAATTTTGTAATGTTGTTGGTATTGTTTTGTGTGACTGTTTCTTTTTTATGGTTTATATATTATTATTTTCTTTTAATAAATGAGGTGACGATACTTTTCTTTAAGCTGAGAGTTTATCGAAAATAATCTTTTTATTTTCACAAAGTAAAGATAAAGTTGCATGCACAATATCCTCTCCGGATCCAATTATAAAATTACACTAATTTTGTTATTGAGGAGTTAAATTCTATAGTTTCACTCTTTGTAAAGTTTTTAATATTGAATATATTATATTTTTTAAAATTGTAAGGTCAAACCTATTAATTCTTTAATAATTTTAATAAATTTTTGTACATAAATATATACTATTTTATAGTAAAAGTATCAAATTTAAATGAACTCAACAATATTAAGCTGCATCTGTCTCCGACAACTAGCTAATAGTAGAACTAGTATATTACCTAGAGTCTAGGACGATACTCCCTCCGGTCCAAAATAAGTGATTTTTTGGATATTTTCACACAGATTAAGAAATCCACCTTTTAGCATTAATTAGCAATGGAATTGACCATATTAACCTTTACTATCTCACATAAACACTTCTAACACATATTCCAACACTATTTATCCAAGGACAATGTAAGAAAAAAATAATTAATTCATTCTTGAAATCTGGAAAAATCACTTATTTTGGACCACAAGAAAAAGGCCATTTATTTTGGACCGGAGGGAGCAATAAGAAGTGACAAAATGTTTTTTCCCCTTCTTGCTTTTTGTGTATAGAAATTAAGAGACAAAAGGATGCACGTGAAGCCTTACGTGGCCAAGGTTAGTATTATAATTAAAATGACTAATATCACTATCAACTACTCCCTCCGGTTCACAATAAGTGATCAATTTTTTTTTATTTTGGTTCAAAATAAATGTCCATTTATATAATCAAGAAAGAATTCAATTTGTTTTTACAAAATTATCCTTATGTTCATATCCCTAAAAAGTTTTCTTACTCCTCACATTAAATATTTAATTAAGTGTAGTTTAATCATACTAGGTATTTTTGTATAGAATTTAGTATTTTCTTAATGGGCGCGCCAAAAATAAATTGGTCACTTATTGTGGACCGGAGGGAGTATGTCTTTAATGATGACAACACTGGTTTAAAATACTCCATCTGTTCCAATTAATGTGAACCTATTTCCTTTTTGGTTCGTTCCAAAAAGAATGACCCATTTTTAAATTTGGTACCAATTTAGTTTAAACTTACAATTCTACCCTTAATGCGAACCTTTATAACCACACAAGTACTCTGAGCCCCTTTTGTTTAGGACCACAAATTCTAAAAATCTTTATGTTTTCTTAAACTCCATGCCCAGTCAAATAGGTTCACATAAATTGAAACGGAGGGAGTATCACTTTGTGCCCCTAATATTAGTACAGTGTAGATTCTGAAATTAAAATGTACCTTAGGCAACTGGATATTTGGAAGACTACATCAAAGCCATCTTCATCACCGATTATTTGGAATATTTACCTAAGCCAATAATAACATGACATATTTTTTCATCATATTTTTTTATCGCCAAAGTTGTTTAATATGGATTTTAACTTCATTTATTACTTAATCATAATAAAGTATATTAATTTGATGTAAACATCGAATAGTTTTTACGTTAGTTATAAGTATAATTGTCCTAATTATTTTATATATTTTTCTCGAATGATTTATTTAGTTAACACTTCAGTAATTGAGATAACAAGAGTGGATTTGAAGAAAAAAAGTAATACATGAACCCTTTGTTCTAAAACGATAAACTTTTGAACCATTTGCCAAAACGACTCATATTATTTAGGAATACTTTTTCTTGCCCTGCGAATTATTGCTTTTTCCAGTCTTTGGAGCCCATGAAATAAGATCTAGGGTGTGTTTGGTACGAAGGAAAACATTTTCTGGAAAACACTTAAATGTTTTGGAAAACATTTTCTTTATCAATTCAATTTCCTTCAATCGGAGGAAAATGTTTTCCTTATCAAAAGAAGGGAAAACATTTTCCAAAGCTCTTTCTCAACCTTTCTCACCCTCACCAACCCACCCCACCCCCTTTCCAAAAAAAGGTCTTTTTTTAAATTTCAGTTTTTCCGTACCATCCACCCTACTAACCCCTCCATTCCCCCCCCCCTCCCGCTAAAAAAATATTTTTTTTACCTTAAATTTTTTTTTTTTGCAATTTCAAATTTCTGTTTTTTCATTTTTCTGCCACCACTCCCCCCCCCCCCCCCCCCACAATTTTTTTTTTACTTTTTTTTTTGTTAATTTAAATTTTTGTCTTTTTTCGTTTTACTGTCCCCCCCCAGCCCCGACCCCCACCCCCTGCTCCTCCCCCCCCCCCCGGAAAAAAAATTTAAAATATATTTTTTAGTTTTTAATTTTATTATTTATCGATTTAAAGGCTCAAAATTTTACAAGTTCCAAAATTATGAGTTCAGAGGTTTATGTGTTTGGAAGTTTACGGGTTTAGAAATTATAAAGTTTACGGGTTCGAAAATACGCGGTTTTTGCGTTAAAAAGTAAAGCATCACATTAGTTCCTTTAGATTGTGTTCAATTTTTAGAGACTTCGGGAAGGGGTGAGGGAGGGGGAGGGGGAGGGGTGAGGAGAGTTGCATAAAAAATATTTTCCTAAAAAAAACTATTTTCTATTCTCTAACCAAACAATAGAAAATATTTTCCGAAAAATGTTTTCTACTTACCAACCAAATAAGAGAAAATAAATGATAAAACCACTCATTTTCCATGAAAACATTTTCTAGGAAAACATTTTCCATGGAAAATATTTTCCTTCGTACCAAACACACCCCTAGTCTGATAGTTTTGCAGAGAAATTATTTTTTTTTTTCTCTTAAAACAAATAAACTTTGATCTAGACTGGATTTCGTGAAGGATATGCAGTATAAACTTATGACTATTTGGCCAAACTTTTAAAATTAACTTATTTTAAAAAGTGCTTTTAAAAAATTACTTTTGGTGAGAATCGGTTTGTGTTCGACTAATTAATTTGAAAAGTATTTTTGAACAACAATTAGTATTTGACCAAACTTTTAAAAAGTACTTCTAAGTGTATTTTTTTCAAAAATATTTTTGGGAAAAAAATACTTTTTTCTGCTTCTAAAATAAACCGCTTATGCTTATACTCAAAAATATATTTTTTTTTTCTAAAAGCTTGGCCAAACACCTTAACTTTGAAAAAAAATAAAAAAAAATAAAAAACACTTTTGGCCAAGGTTAGTCTAGAAGCTGTGGTTTCCTCCTAAGGTGCACCTTATTA